CCAGGCAAATCTGGCTACTACCGAACTGAAAATACACTGAACAAGCAAGCATGGCCAAACGTTTCCAGGAAAATATCTAAAAATATTTTGAAGATAATAAAAAGATTATCTGGAGCCCAGACCTTGGGATGGACTCAGAGCGATCAAACTAAACTGCCCTCGGTAATCTCCCAAAGTCTGGGACTTCGGGCCAGGCCCTGGTGGTGTGGACCCACAGCCATGCTCTCGCTCCTCAGGATAAGACTGAAATGATCACCCTACAGGGCGGAATTTTTTTTACACACAATACAACCCCAGCTGGAAGCCGGCCCAAGTCCCCGGGGGAAGGGAACAGGTAAGACAACTGAAGTTCACCTAGAAGTGGGCGAGTCACGAGCTGCGGCCGATTTGCTATCCGAAATCAATACGTGACATTTTGCGGTTCAAAGGAAGTTAAGTGGTTTTATTTCTTATTTATAGGGAGAGCTAATTGCATTTTGTTTCTATTGTGCTGGGTTTATTTATTTATTTTTTTAGAAACACAGCCGTGGCGTGTGTTCACGTATATATTGCAACCCGCAAGTTCATTATCATCCTCTAGCCCATCTGGGGCTATGTTCCCAGCACTGCGACCCAGGCCATGCAATCTTAGCTCTGTGTTGGGATCCTTCTTGCCACAGTGTCTGAGACATCCACCATGAAAACGCTTTCACTGGGTTAGAAAAGGAGAATAAAATTCACTGTGAGCAGGGAGAGGATAATACATTTATGTGTGGTCAATTTAGGGTGAGCCGCTTCGACGAGCTAGCTAGCTTCTAGTAATGTCAGGCCACAGAGCAGGGAGGAGGGGCAGCTCCGTCCCAGAATGGAGCCACGGCGGCAATGCTGAACACCTGCCCTGCCGTCGGGGACCAACCAGCTACATAATGCACACAAATCACATTTCAGTGTTCGGGCGGAACAGGTTGGAACGCTTCCTGCCTGACCTGGAAATAGAGGATGATAGGATAAGAAGGGCACTGGCCTTTTGTCTCTTTTTAGCTTTATGACCTTTGATCAGTCCCAGCTCTAGCGACGCAGATGGCAGAATCCATCGCAACATGAAAACGCAGGACCCCTTGTCCAATACTTTAAGAATTTCAAGATGGCGACAGAAGACCGTTCGACCAAGGGCAAGACCCTTCTAAGCACGGGACCCGCGCGGCTGTGCGTTCGGCACGCCTGAGAAGACAGTCCTGAGCAGCCCCTTCTCCTAAGGCAGAGTGCTGGTCTCCTCCGACCCAGCTCAGTGACTGACACTTGCAAGGTCTTTTGAGGCGAACAACAGCTGCCTGCCATATTAGCCCATATTCAAGAGAGAAGACTGTACCGATTCACAGACCGTCCATTTGTTATCGCTGACCCCACAGAGCGAGCAGACACCCGTCTCCTTTGATTCACAGAGAGGTATACTAAGAGATCATTCTTCTCTTTTGTTTTTAACTGAACTATTTCGTAGAGTGCCAAATTTAGGGGCCTTTATCGTGACTCAAGTCCTCTCGTTAAAGAAAGAATGACCTCGGTAGTCATAATAACAAAAGCACCAATGTCAGCATAAACGAAAAAGCAAAGCACAAGCAGCTTCATGTCATAATTATACATCAGGGTCCTGCTCGGCTCCTATTTAGACATCGAACCTGCAAAACACAGTCTTACACAGATGCACTTTCTTTTTATTAATCGTATGTGTTTTTTAATGTTGCAAGTACAGTTCGCATACATTAGCTTCATCTGTGCAACCTGGTGATTAGACATTTATGTAACTCCAATAATTCTAGTACCTACTGACACAATATACAGTTATTACAATATTAATGACTATATCTCCTATGCTATACTTTATAGCCCTGTGATTATTTTTTAACTACCAATTTGTACCTCTTAATCACTTTACCTTTTTAACCCAGCCCTTCAACCCCCCTCCCATCTGGCAACCATCAAAATGTCCTGAGTCTGTTTTGTTTGTTCCGTGTGTTCATTTATTTTGATTTTTAGATTCCGCATATCAGTGAGATCATATGGTATTTCTCTTCGACTTATTTCACTGAGCATAATATTCTCTAGGTCCATCCATGTTGTCGCAAATGGTAAGATTTCGTTATTTTTTTTTATGGCTGACTAATTCCATTGTATATATGTACCTCCTCTTTAGCCATTCATCCACCTGGGCTGCCTCCGTATCTTGGCTTTGTAAATAATGCTGCAATGAACATATGGACACATGGGTCCCTCCAAAGTAGTGTTTTGGGTTTCTTTGGATAAAGAGCCAGACATGGGATTTCTGGGTCCTACTTTCTCTGTTGTTATAGCCTTTGTTTTAAAGTCTACTTTGTCTGATATAAGTATTGATACATCAGCCCTTTTTTTTCCCCCCCCATTTTCATGAAATATCTTTTTCCATCTCTTGATTTTCCGTCTATGTGTGTCTTTCAATTTGAAGTGAGTCTCTTGTAGGCTGCAAGTGTAAAGGTCTTGTTTTCGAATTCATTCAGCCACCCTATGTCTTTCGATGGGTGCACTTAATCCACTTACATTTAAAGTAATTGTTGATAGATATGTAGTTACTGTCATTTTTATTGTCTATATTTTTTATCTTTTTTTTCTTCTTAAAGAAGTCTCTTTATTCTTGTAATACTGGTTTGGTGGTAATGAACTCCTTTAGCTGTTTCTTATCTAAGAAGCTCTTTATCTGACCTTCTATTCTAAATGATAGCTTTGCTGGGTAGAGACATCTTGGTTGTAGGTCTTTGCTTTTTATCACTTTGAATATTTCGTGCCAATCCCTTTGGCCTTCAAAGTTTCTGTTGAGAAATCAGCTGACAGTCTTATGGGAGCTCCCTTGTAGGGAACTAATGGCTTTTCTCTTGCTGCTTTTAGGATCCTCTCTCTCCCTAACGTCTGGCATTTTAATTCCCATGTGTCTTGGTGTGGGCCTCTTTGGGTTTGTCTTATTTGGAACTCTCGGCACTCCAGAGCTTGTATGGCTATTTCTTTTAGCAGGCTAGGGAAGTTTTCTGTCGTGACTTCTCAAAATAGGTTCTCAGTTCCTTGCTCTCTCTTCTCCTTCTGTGAGCACTATGATGCGAATACTGTTATGCTTGATGTCCCTTAAACTGTCCTTTAAACTGTCCCTTAAACTGTCCCTTAAACTGTCCTCATTTTTTAATTTTTTTTTTCCTTATTGCTGTTTCAGTTGTGTGTTTTCTTCTACTTTGTTTTCTGAGTCACTGATTCGCTCCTCTGCTTCACCTAATCTGCTGTTGATTCCTCCCAATGTTCATTTCAATGGTAGTCTCCATGTCTAACTGGTTCTTTTTTATGTTTTCCATCTCCATTTTAATGTGTCCTATCTTTTTGTTGAAGTTCTCGCTGAGATCACTGAGCATGCTTATCACTAGCATTTTGAACGCTGCGTCTGGCAGACTGCTTGTCTTCATTTTGTTTAGCTCTTTTTCTGGAGCTCTGTTCTGTGCTTTCTGTTGGGACATGTTTCTTTGTCTCCTCATTTCGGCTGCCTCTCTCTGTTTGTTTCCATGTATTAGGGAGAGGGAGAGCTGCTATGTCTCCTGGCCTTACGTGGAAGGTGTCCTGTGGGGCCCCCCAGTGCAGTCTCCCTAGTCAGCTGAGCGGGGGGTTCCAGGTGTGCCCTTTGTGTGGGTTGTGTGCTCCCTCCTATTGTCATTGATCCTTGGCTGCTGTTGGGACATCAGTGGGAGGGATCGACCGTCAGGCTGATGGTCGTGAGGACGGGCTGTGACCACGGCAGTGGCGCTCTGGTGCAGGGGCTGACCCTACGAAGCAGGATTTGCTTTGGCAGGGCTCTGGCGCCTGCCCTGTCTGCTTTTTCGGTGTGTCGTGTTGATCCACTTTCTTAAATTCAATGAAAGTGGCGCTGGCAGGATTTCTGTCTCTAATGTCTAAGCGCCACTCATCTGCCAGTGAAGGACTCCATGACTGTTACAGAAATTGCTCTTAAATACATAAAACACATAAGAGAATTTTTGGAAAATCCCTTATTATTCATTAAAGCATTTGGGGGCCTCATTAATTCCGATGGGATAATCAGTTGTTGATTAGCCAGGCTGTTAAGCATCCATTGTCAGATGCTGATGGGGTGTGAGAATTGCATTTCATATCCACGGAAGAGTCACCTGAATGCAGTTAGCACTTCATCAGGTAAGGCTGCATCTTCTGAGGATAAATTGGCTGGATTTTCATTCCCCAGTCTTTTCTCTCATCTCCCACATTTTTCTTTATTGCAGAGCATTTCTCATTCTGTTTGGTTTCTCCTGCATATCTAAGGTCTGAAACTATTTCGGAAGCCAACTTTAAAAGCTGGCAGGTTACAGGTAAGTCATACTGGTACACAGGGCTCTAACGTTAAAAGAGCGTGCACGCGTGTGTGTGTATGTGCGTGCGTGCGTGTGCGTGTTTGTGTGTGTGTGTGTGTGTTCATCTCTGAGTGTTTGGCTTTGGCCTGACAGTTCGTGGCTAGGGCCTCCTGCACACCATCAGCCCTTCAGATCCAAATAGTATCCAGGACATCAAGGAGATTCCTCAGCCAGGGCTCTAAAACTCAGAACTGCCTTTCTCTCCAAACCTCGACTGACTGAGAGGAGCATAATGGCAGTGAGCACGGTGAGAAAAGTCCCTGGGTTAGAGGTTGGGAAATGGGAGTCAGAGTCCTAGTTCTATTTTAGGAGAGGAAGTGACAGCACTAGGCGACTGCTCTCAGCGCCATCCAGTCATTTCATCTCCCTGACAGTTTGCAACTTATCTCTTCTCCCTTCAACAACAGAGCACCATCAGGGTTTCTCCTCCGTGTCACGCCAAGAATGGTGGGAGGTGTACTTCTGTAAAGATGGACCAGTCCTCAACCCTTTACTGAGCCTCTGATGTCAAAGGGACAGGGTGCTCCCCTGACAGTAGGGGCCCCCTCTCTCTACTACATCTTCAAAGAAGAGAGTCCTCGTTTTACTCACGGAACTGCTCTAGATGGTGAGCACTGTCAGACTCGGGCATGGCGGTGACAGTCACCAACGGACAGGAATTCCCTCCTAGGGTCTGGCAGAGAGCTTCCTGCCGGAAGTAAACCTTTTTGGGATCGATGTTTTTTTCCAGGCTATCAAGGTGAGTCTGGAACAGAAAAAAAAGAAGCATACCTTATTTTTGATAATAACCATACTAGACAACAGTCATAAAACTTATATTCGTGTAACTCCTTATAGAAGAATTTCTGCTAACCTGGTCTCCCCAATATAGGGTGTTAAGTGCCTAAAAAGGGGGCTACTCCTATTACCTAGGAGACGTTCAATGAGGCAGAACAGGACGCATCATTCCCACACGTGTCTGCGTAATAGGACCATCTGTTTTCGAATGGTACTGAAGGCAAGAGGGTAGGCGCATACAGCATCTTACCATCACCGTGGTTACCATGAAGACAGAGCGCACCCAAGCACTCAGGAGCACAGGACAGAGACCTTCAGCCGCACATGGTACCTCAGAACCGGGCAATATCGGGAGAGGTGTGGACATGATGAAGGAGAAGAGGAAACAGCTGATCCAGGGGGCGTGCCAGGCAAAGACAAATAATGGCAACTCATTTTTCCTACTCTTTTCTTCCATTTAGACACTGACTTAAGACAAAGATACAAAAATAGGATAGCACTGAAACTATCGTTGAGACCTCTGAGGATATTTTTACTAACCCAAGCAGTCATTAAGAGGTTAGGAGATTTTCTCCCAGCTGTATTACGTACCCTGACAACAGTGGCTCTGTAACCTCAGTAACCGGCACAAGGACATCTATGCACAAAAGTTATCCTTCTAGCTGAAGCTCTTAAGTTTTCACCACACCAAGCAGGCATTAACAGGGCCAAGGAGAAGCTGACCATCTTGCTTTTTGACAAATAACAAGCCTGCTAGATAAATCTTTTAAAAAACACATAAATTCTATGTAAATATTTAGAGAAGTCATAAAATATATTCTGAAGAGGTGAACACTGCCCTCAAAAGGTAGAGGAAGTGTTTGCATGTGAAAAGGATTTACTACAGAAGGAGCAGGTGGGGTTATGGCTCACCCAAAGATGTCAGTCATGCCCGAAGCTTCGGGACCCGTAAATATGTTACCTCACATGGCACCAAGGGCTTGGCAGATACGTTTAAAGTCTATTTGAGACGGGAGATTATCCTGCATCACCCAGTTGGGGCCAACCTGATCCAAAGTTCTTAAAAAGCAGAAAACTGTGACCAGCCGCAGAGAACCAAAGGGATGGCAATGTGAGAAGGACTCAGCCTGCCATTGCTGGCTTTGAGGATGGAGGTGGGAGATCAAAGGCCAGGATATGTGGTCTTTAAAAGCTCAAAAGACAAGAAAATAGATTCTCCTCCGAGAGCCTCTGGAAGAAACGCAGCCCCAACACCGTGATTTGTGGCCAGTGCAACCCATGTCAAACTTCTAACCTAGATGGGTGTAAGAGTTTTAAAATTTTATTGTCTCACCCACCAAGTTTGTGCTAATTTCTTAGAGCAGCAACAGAGAACGAATATAAAAGGAAATAAACAAACAGAAGAACTTCCTCAACTAAGTAAAAATCCTAGGATTTGGATAGATAGAAATACAGTAAAATCTGCCGGAACGCTATGGAAATATTTGAATTGCAAGGAAAAAGAAAGAGTACCAAAGGAAGAAAAAGTCTCCAGAAGATTCTGTGGCCTTTTCTCTACCCTCAGGGATACGTGAAAATTTGGCCCTGACTGATAACCTCCTTGCAACTGAGACCCCAAATCATCCACCCCAACAATGCCTATTACCTACATTCACATGGCTGTTATTGTTCGTCTGCATCAACATAATTCTACTATTCCAGGAAACTTTTGTCTAGGAAATTAGAAGTTACGAACCAATGTATTGTTCATTCCAGGAACGTCCCAGCAACTCTTCGATAGAAAGCATCAACTGACTCTGTAATCTGAGCCCCTTAAACCCCTTTCCTCAAGATTCTTGCCTTACGGTGTCCACCAATCTTACACTATTATATCACGTCTTTACTCAATGCTAACCAAGCCCCCTAAACAAAATATCTGCCTTTAAACAAGACTTTAAAGTCTTAATAAATATCCCAGCTCTGCCCTTCCTCCTCTGAGACACTGTCAAGACTCTGCCATAATCTCCTTTGCCAAGTTTGCCAACATTAGTTTCCTGTCGCTGCCATAATTACTGCAAATTTAGTGGAGCGAGGCACACGAATTTATTGTTTTATAATTCTGGAGGTCAAAAGTCCAAAACAGGTCTTACAGGGTCAAAATTCCAGGTGATGTCAGGAATGCACTCCTTCAGGCGGTTCTAGAGGGTAATTCATCTCCTTGCCTTTGCCAGCTTCTGGCGGTGACCTGCATTCCTTGCTTCATGGTGACATTCTCCACCTTTGAAGCCAGCAATTGCCTTATCCCCACCTCTGCTTTCATGGTCATATCCTCCTCTATGACCCCAACTCCACTGTCCTATCTCATTCTTTCACATATGAGGCCCCTTGTGATTACACTGGACCCGACGCCATAATCCAGGATAGCCTGCCCATCTCAAGATGCTTAACTTAATCACATCTGCAGAGTCCCTTGGGCTGTGTAACACCACTTCTCCTTGTCAAAAAGCATACTTCCTTCTGCAACACTAGATGCCAAATTTTTGCTCTTAAGCAAAGGTAACGTACATGCTCAGATATGCAACAAGTCAGAAAACATGTCACCTTATATTTAATGAAAACGGTAGCTTGAAGACATACGTCTGCTGCTCCCAAATCAAACTAAAGAACAATATAAAAGGGCAGTCCAGTTAAATAGGGTTTAAGTCTAAGCGACCATTGAAGACATGATTACTACATTACACAAACACCAAAAATTATTTTTAGGGAGAAAAAAATATAGTACCAAATTTTAATGCTATCATCTGGTTCTAAAATGAAATTAAAAGAGATGTGTGAAGAAAATATAGTAGAAAATATCACCATTTTCATTTTGCATGGACAACGTTATTTAATTCTTGAAAATGGAAAGGCATACAGTATGGAGCAAGATGACTAAAGTGGGCAAGTTTTTAATTCGAACTGCCTGAGTTCAAATTTCGGCTGCAGATTCTGGAAAAGTTATATAAATTCTGTACTTAATCTCTTTGTGGCTTAATTTCCTCTCTTTAAAACATATATATATATATTATAATAGCATTGCCTACCTCATTCAATGGCTACCACAATTTAGCCGTATACTGTATGTGAAAAGTCACATAAGTAACACTCAGTTTTAACTATGATTATTCATGGCGAAATATAGGTTCAGATAGTTTGGTTTTTTTTAAGAACTAAAAGATCAGCACTATTAGAATTATAAACACAGGGAAAAAATAAAAATTAAAGAAAATAGGGTTGGTCCATGTTACATAAGTGATAGAGGGAAGGTGGGGAGGAAGAAAAACATTAAACATGAAAAATAGCATACACTCAAGATGATAGAAGTAACACCAAAAATTATTACAAGTAAAAATAGGTTAAAGAACCTCATTAAATGACAAAATCTTTCGGATTCGTTTTTTTTCCTTAATCCCACTGCACATTGCATGTAAGAGGTAATTTTAAATAGAAGAGAAAAAAAAATGACGTATTTCAAAACACGTCTAAATTACCTCTTTAGTTTGTTTGCCTCTACTAAAATATTTTAAAAGAAAAATACTGAAACTAAAAGGATAAACAAACATAAATTAAAGCGGGCATGGCAACAGTAATATATGACGAAGCCATATTCAAGAACAAGGGCATTAAATGGGATTTTGAAATCTTATTCTGATAAAGGGCACAATTCAAAATGAATATATAAAACTCATAAATCTTAAGAATCAAATAACATAGGATTGAAATATACAATGCGAAATGGCAGAAGGGGAATAAATTGTACTCAGAGTGGGAGACTTTGAAGACACTACCTCGGTCTTAAATCAATTGCACAAAAATGATGATAGTGTGTTTGAACAATATTGGTTTTTCATAGATATACGTCAAACTTTTTATAAAAACATCCTTTTTTCCTCAAATATCCATGGAACTGTAAAAAAAAATTAACCATACACAGGTCTGTAAAACATTCAAAAATGTTTCCAATGAAGGCAGAAATTGTACGCAACACATTTTCTGACAAATAAAGTGAGTCTTAAGTCAAAATGGTTTTAAAAAGAGCCAAAACAAAAACATGAGGAAGTAGCAAAACCTCCCCCCCGCCAAAATCTCGCCAAATAAATTAATGTATCAAAGAGAAAATCGATATGAAATCAGTGTAAATAAAGCCATGATAAAAAAAGATATCTGGTGTCTCAGGAGAGACGGCGAAGGACAGGAATAGAAATGTCCCCGATGGAATGTCTCTATGTGTCAGTCATCCCCGTTAAGCAAAATGCCAGCACCTTAGTTAAAAGAGTAAAGATAATCCTGGATTTAGACGATAACTCTCTGTGATCCTAAGCAAATTATTTTAATGACTTTCATCAAATTCTGGGTGAAAGCGGCTCCCAATATTGTTAAATTATTAAATTATTAATAATTTAATTATTATTAAATTATTAAAACCCTGACTGAGTGGACCCTGACTCACAATTACTATCCTGATTCACGGCCCCCCTAAACTAGGAAAGCAATACTCTTTCCTGCACCATTTCCCAAAATGCAAGGAAATGAATATTACCAGGTGCTGGGGGAGGACAGGGAGGTGGGCAGGCAGAAAATTCAGAGCGAAAGCACTTGGAACATGGTGAGTTAAAGAAAATAAAAATGTTTTTATGGCTGCAGAATTTTTCAGACTCTCTAATATGCCACTATGCCTTGTGACTTCCTAGAAGGAAATCCAGCACATGAATTTATGTGTCCATTAATGAAATCCAGCTTCATGAATTTATGTGTCCATTAATTTCTTTTCTGTAAAGATCTCAGGACACAGGGGTGCTGTACAATATGATTTGGGAAACACTGTCTTTGCTGAATTGTCTTTTGTCTTGCCATCAAAGTATTTGTTGCACATTTTATTATGTCTAAAAGGATCCCTTTGCAAGGAGCATTGGGGGTAAAGGGTGGGGTGTGGGGGGCTGGGTGGAGAGC